GGGGGGAATGTCGATAGTGAAGGAAAACTACTTTGTAGGAATTTGTTGCCATTTCTCCCATTCCCAGCCCTTAGCACAACTTTGTAGTAAATGCACAACTTTGTAGTAAATGCATGATCCACGTGGTGAGCAGTGCTGTAAGATCATAAGCAATTAATTTCCATAGAGTTTAGAGACACTGTGCGATCTTAATTAGGAAGTAGAGCAGCCATCTGTAAGTTACGACAATATTTGTGAACGGAAGAGGGCAGCCACATGGATTTTTTTGCCTTTCCCCTTTTTACAAAGCCTAGAAATCTGCTCCACGAAATGAAATGCTCTTTGCAGAAAGGCATTGTCTCTCGAGGTTGTTTATTTTGAACATTCTTTGGTTCGCAGACATTAGCGGTTGGGACCCTTCCCTCTCCCCTCCCCGAGTCGGGCTTCCAAGCGCGTTCCTGCACCTCCGGCGTTTCCACGCTAACAATAAAGCCAGTGAGCCGGAGGGACTCAGTACGACCCGCACAGAAGATTTAAGGTAGTAATTTATTTACGACTTTCACTTTTCCTCCGAACGCTGGATTACTCCGTTACAAACTTTCTCTACTATGAGAACCCCTCTCTGAGCGTAGTCGCGTTTTTGGCACTCGGTGGAGAACTTCGCAAAAGCACAACTTTTTGCCAAGAAAGCAGCTACTCATTTTCTCCCCTTTTCCGGTTAGAGACCAGTGTTAATGAAGTTGCAGAGTGCTACGAGGGAATAGAAAAGCAAAGGAAGTGGAGAGGGGAGAGGAAAAGCCAGAGCGTGCCACAAACTACACGGGGGAGGCCGGGAGGGAGGTGAAACTGTCTCCGGGAAATTTAATTAGAGGAGCGCTCCGCAGCACAAACACACACTAGGGAAAGCATGTGCAAGAAGGAAGGGAAGGAAAGCACTCTCTCCCGCACTGAAGAGTCACAGACGTCCCTCTCTTTTCCCCAGCATTTTATTGGTGGCTGTTTCATTTCCATCTCCTCCTTCCACCCCCCACGAGAAAACACCTCCCCCACAATAACAGTATTAGCATGTATCTATATATCTGAAAAAAGTCTGAGAGATTGAACGCACCTTTGAGATCTGCTCCAAGGCGAAAGCCGCATCGCAGTAGCTTGGTCGCTGCAGATACTCCCGGTCGTGCGCCGCGGCGCGCTGGTTCCCTCCGGTCCTTCGCCGCCTCCCGCT